AGCTACTTGATGTCTACAGCATATGTTATGAAGAGAGGCTTTACTCAACAGAGCTATTGTTTAATGCAAGTAGCTGTTTAACAACTCAATCTTCCCACGTTGGAGGATGAGTCAGATATAGCTCTGGCAGGGTGGTGATACTGGAGCACTGCAGTGGGCAGTCATTGCCAATCTCCCCGAACTTTTCATAAAAAGGGACAACAGCCTCTTTGCTCATTTTAGCTGGCACCACGTTCTTTCAACAAATTTGTGTCATGTCTTTTTCTTTTACACTTATTGTATACTGCCCTTGCAACTTTGGGCAAAAATGAATTTACAGAAATGTTAATATATAACCTAAATCTATTGATTATTATTTATTTATTTAAAACATTTATATTCCGCCCTTCTCACCCCGAAGGGGACTCAGGGCGGAGCACAGCATATACACGGCAAACATTCAATGCCGGGACACAAATTCACATACATATACATAAACATTAAAAAACATTTATCAAAATATTAAAATACATCATTTAAAACCGTCCTAGTCATCCGTGTTAAATCTAATTGGCCTGATCATCTTTCCTATTGCCGCTTCATTACCCTGTCCCGAAAGCTTGGTCCCACAGCCAAGTTTTTACCATCCTTCTAAAGGATAGGAGGGAGGGGGCTGACCTGATCTCACCAGGAAGGGAGTTCCATCGCTGGGGAGCAATCACCGAGAAGGCCCTGCATCTTGTCCCCACCAATCGCACCTGTGACAATGGCAGGACGGAAAGCAGGGCCTCCCCGGAGGACATGGGGGAGATGCGTTCAGACAGGTAATTCAGGCCGGGGCCTTTATTGGCTGCCTCCCTTTTCCACTCATGGTAAATAAATGGCATTGATAGCACTGAAGAGAGGAACCATGCATTTAATCTCTAGCTGCCTTTTACCGCAATTTCACAGCCCACAGTTGTCTTTAAAACACACATACCAAAAAAATGTGTGATAATTACAGCAGCAGGTCTTTACCTGTATTTCCACCAAATAAAAATGTAGCCTTCCAGGCAAATGAGCTTCACTAGATTTCTCTTCAAATACAAATTTGCAATACTATTTTATAGAACACGAATACTTGCTAAAAGGATACCAAAAGCAGTTGCAGTTTGTAACTAGGAGTCATATATAAGTCAGATGTTTGTAATTCGGGGTAAATAGTGCTGCTGCTAAACCAAGAGGGAAGGAATGCCTTTCAAATAGTAATAATAATAATAATAATAATAATAATAATAATATTACTTTATTTATACCCCGCCACCATCTCCAAGCCCAACAAATACAGCAAAGCAAATATACAATATAAAAATACAACAATAAAATATAATGAAAATAAAAAATACAATGGTACTCCAGATCTGAACAGGATCAGCTTCTGGTGAAGGACACCATGCTGCACATAATTTCCAGAGTCAAACTGACTGCCAGTTGGATCTTACTTTAAACATAGCCACGGAACAGCATTGCCTATTGCACCTAAAGGCAGGGGATGAAGGGCAGACCGCACAGGTTATACTGATCTGCCCTCCACAGTTTCATGGCACATCAACATCTGCCACATTCTGCCAAATTGTAGGTAAAAGTACTATGACTTGCATGAAAATTACGCAACCACAACTTGCATAAGACTTTGTTTGGACCAGAGTTTACTGGACCTTGCCCCCTCAAGAAACTCTATAAAGGCTGCCACTTGACCAATAAAAACCTTGGCATAATATTTCACCATTGGCATATTGCAGGCATTCGGAAATTCCATGTGCATTCTGTAAAGAAGTATTTAGAACTACAACCGCTGTGCTGTAATGATTGGGATGCTGGACTATAATGCTGGAAGAAAAGGGTTTGGATCTCCACCACATCATGGAAACCAACTGGATTACTTAGAAAAATCATGCTTTTAGCCCAAGTGGAAAGACAAACGACCTCTGAATAATCCTGCCAATAAAGTTGTATGAGAGAGTCACCGCCATAACATGGGAATGGACCTAGTAGCTACAAACAACAGCACATTCCATGCCTGTCCTCAAAAATATCATGGCTTACAGTGGCTGATATTATTCAGTGCACAAACACACCGGAAAACATTTAAAACATGACTGAGTGATTGTGGCCATTTAGGGGTTTGGGCCTCAAACTTCCTATTTTTTTACTATGTTATAGTCTTGTTGAAGGCTTTCATGCCCAGACCTCACTACCCCTGAGGATGCTTGCCATAGATGCAGGCGAAATGTCAGGAGAGAATGCCTCTAGAACATGGCCATATAGCCCGAAAAAACCTACAACAACCCTATGTTGTAGTCCTTTGCAAGTTTTTTATTCATGTCAGGAGTGACTTGAGAAACTGCAAATTGCTTCTGGTGTGAGAGAATTGTCCATCTGCAAGGATGTTGCCCAGGGGACGCCCAGGTGTTTTACCATCCTATGGGAGCCTTTTCTCTCTCAGAGATTGACGATACCCAGCGGAAGGAATGCTAGATCAAGCAGACACTGAGTTGCAAAATAAGGACTCTGCAGGCTTTGAGTTATAAAAGAAACTAAGTTTAGTAAGTACATTCAACAGACACGTCCTTCTACAGCAAGCTACAATTCAGGAAAAAGAACAAAGAACTAGTCAAAACCGAAAACCTCTTCACATCTGCTTATCTTCTCTTGCTGAGACTGGCAACTCCCTTCTGCTCTCAGCAAGAACAAACCTTATCTTACTTTTTCAAGTTCACTTAATCACAGCCTCAAAGTATAAACATTTCTGCATGGCATTTCCAATTCACAGTAGCATCCATCTTGGCAATACATAGAAGCACATTGAAAAACACATATATAACTAAATTAATCCTGAAATTCTCATGTCCACACATGAGAAGCTTGAGCTGACAGACGGGAGCTCACCCGACTCCCAGGATTCAAACCGCAGAGTTTTCAGTCAACAGTCCTGCCAGGACAAAGGCTGAACACACTGCGCCACCAGGAGCACAGAATACTGTGTTTTTTGCAAGTGACACAGGATGAAGTCGACACTCAGCCACAAATAACAATAGCTGACCCCGAACCAGTCATTTTCTTCCAGTGTGATCCAAATCACAGGATAAAGCAGGGAAGAGGAGAGCCATGTATATCACCATGGAGAAAAGATGCGATAGAAGTGTAGAGAATCTAATTAATAAATAATTCCTCAACAGGCAAGGGATGAGAATTGAAAAGCCACAAATGTCAATACTAAGTTATTCATCTAAATATTGACACCAATGAAGTTTCTATATGGAACAGTATCCTGTGACTGGGATACCACAACAAACAAGGCTGTCTCCTAGTGTGTTGCCTCGACTTAAGAGACATCAAATCTCAGGCTGGCGTATATAGGAAAAGTTGCTCCTTTAAATATAGAGTTTTGAAGCCAGACTGTAAACCTATTAGTAGCCAGAGCAACTCCTTCAAAACCAGTGCCTGGTGGTCTCTTGTATGGAATTATGTTAAGCAGTCTAGTTGCTTGCCACATTGTGAATTAGCTGCAGCTTCTGAGTAGCACTGAGTAATAATAATAATAATAATAATAATAATAATAATAATAATAAGCTCCCCAAAGGGGACTCGGAGCAGCTTACATGAGGCCAGGCCCAGCGATACATTACAGCAACATAAAATATAAACAACAAAATAACATCACAGTAAAATAAATAAACCATCAAGTAAAATAAACAGTACAAAATAACATAATGGAAAATCAAGCACAGTGGGCGGGCCAAATGCACGACATAAAATGATAAAACTCTGGATGAGATAGCAATAAAAAGGTATATTTGTGGAGGAGGAGCTTGTAGGGAACAGAACAGTGGAATTAGACTTTCAATAAAGTGGAGGGAAGTGCAATATGAGGAAAACAGTGTAGGTGAAACAGCAGGATTGGCATTACTTAGGCGATCCCTCGTAGTCCGAGGATGTTGGTCCTCCAAGTGTAGTGTCCTGGCGGTGTCCTATTCTTTTCCCGCAGTGAGGGCATCGGTTTCCAGGTGGAAGGCGATCCCGGTTGGGGTTGGCTTGACGCGCCTTCCTCTTGGCAAGTTTCTCTTTTTCGCCCTCTATTCGTGCCTCTTCAAATTTTACAGCACTGTTGGTCACAGCTGACCTCCAACTGGAGCACTCAAGGGCCAGGGCTTCCCAGTTCTCAGTGTCTATGCCAGAGTTTTTAAGGTTGGTTTTGAGCCCATCTTTAAACCTCTTTTTCTGTCCTCCAACATTCCGTTTTCCGTTCTTGAGTTCGGAATAGAGCAACTGCTTTGGGAGATGGTGGTCGGGCATCCGGACTATATGGTCACTCTCAAAAGAATGCATTAAAATAACAAGAAGCCTTATAGAAAATAGTCAGAACTTGAAACCCATGAATGTAAAACAAAAAAAATCCTTCCATTGTGGAAATTTCTGTATTAGCCAAGAAAAGTGTAGGCTTTGCAGATAATCATCAATTCCTTTGAAAATTGCAAGTGGGTTCAAAAGTAGGAGGGGAAGGAACAGGAAAAGGTTTAATGGAGTTAGGTGTTGCGCAGCCTTCCAGATGTTGCAATTCTTAGCACTGATGCAGTTTAACAACATCCGGAGAGCTACATAATTCCCAGCTCTGCCTTAAACTGACAGAAACGGAGCCTGGTGGTGAGCAAGTATCCCATCTGTTTCTTCAAAACTTTCCAAGGGAATGCAGCCCTGAACCTCCCAAGAGTCCCTCCATCATTGTTTCACGGCAGCCTGGCAGCAGTCCTCCAGGATCTTGTTGCTTTAAAACAACAAGAACTACAGCATCTCCCCTTCCTGATGATCTTGCTGCCAGGCTGCAGTGAAACAATGATGGAGGGAGCAAGTTAGAACTGGAAAATACGTACACAGATAACATTTCTGCATTGCTCTGCTGCAAATTCAGAAAGCACAATAAAGAAAATCACATACAAATACACACGGTCTGGTTTTGCTCCAGGTACTCTTTGAGTTTTTACCTTTATCCAACTCTCAACTTCTTCTCCAGGGCAGCGGCAGCTAAGATGCACAGCACTTCAGAGCAAGACAGCACAATTTTGCATGAAGAATGGTTAATGAACATGGGAAGGGTTGGGGAAGAATACTGAAATGTGATTGGGTATCAATGTACAAGTACTTCCCACTCACTTGGCAGATGTTATGCTGATTGGACAGAATGCAACTTCCTAGATGAAAACAAGTGAACTTTTCCCTGCTTCCTGCCAGGACTTCTTAACAGAAAAGATAAAAGAGAGCTTGTTTACCACAGGAGAAGCCAACAGTTAGGGAGAAATGTATGCTTTGGCGTAAACATTAAAGTGGATTCCTGGGAACAAGATCTTAACCCCTACTTGGTCACTGAAATCCACTGGATGAGTGTAGACATGTCACACCCATTCATCGAGGAAGGCCAAGGCGAACCCCTTCATAACAAATCTTGCCAAGAAAAATCCCATGACAGGGTCACCATAAGTCAGAAAAGACACACAGCAACAATAACAAAGTCCCAGTTTGATGTGTTGGCTGAGTTAACTGCTGTATGTGTTTTTAAAATTTGTACTTAATAGTTTGGGTATAGTGGGAGGCCAGAGGATCTTCTTCAGGCAGTCCCTTCCAGAAGAAGGTGTAGCCTCCTTTTTCTTCCTTCAGCTGTCCCTCTCTTGCTCTCCGGGTCTCCTGAAGTGCTTCTATGTCGATGTTAAAGCGTCCCAGCTCCCTTGCAATGATGGCAGTTCTGCGTTCGGGGCGTTCACCGTCAGTGTTGTCCATCAGTGTCCGTACGTTCCATGGCCGCAGGGTGCTGACCCCACTGGACGCAGCAGTCCAGTCAGGGATACAAGAGGCAGACTATGTTTAGGGCACCTGTCACATCGCCAGGGCTCTGCCTTATTTAGGTAGAGATGAACCAAACTCCCAGTTTTATCAAACAGTTTAATTAAAACAGCACTTACTTGCTGGCTGTTTTTATAGTCCAACATATAAAACATACAGATAGCACTCAGCTACAGAATAAACAAAAACTGATAGCAAAAACTACACCATAGTCAAAGGGTCCAGTCCAGTGGTCAAACGCCGAGAGTTCAAAAAACAAAGTCCAGGGATCAAGAGTCTATACCGTTGTCAAAAGCCAGTCCAAAGGTTCAAGGTTCCAAGATTACAGGAGACAGGTCAGGATACCAAAAATCTAACAGACCTGGGGGGAAAACCAGCAGCATCCACCACCAAAATATGACAATACTTTTCTCCCAAAGATTAGTCCCAAGGTTAGCTCCTTAAATCCAGTAACACCCAGCTGCAACCTATCCCCTGCATACCTCCACCCTTAATTGCTTTTACCTGTAAACTGTTACTTACAAACTACTCAGCCCTTTAGAACCAAGACTTACATTAACCCTTCCATCACCAACTGCCAGGTCTACCACCACCAACCACCATCAACTATGGAACATATGACAGCACCTTTTCTAGCCCCTTCCCTGTGTGGGGTGATCCTCAAAAGGGCTGCTCAGTCATGGATACAGCTGCCGAACTACTCAACTGCCTCGGACCTTGAGGTAGAACGACTGAGTCCGTATCCACTGCCCATGTGCCAGTCTGTGACTAGGAGCTTCCAGATTTTACAGTCCTGGCCCTGTCACCACTCACTGATCACCATGGAACTTTGGATGGTTTGTTTTTATTTTCCTTGGAAGACACCTGTGCTTGAATTTTTTTAATGTGTGGAGGTCAGTGCACAACTGATCAACACACAGTCTTCACAGAGTGAGGTTCCACTGTGGCATAGTTTAGCACGACAACCGTGGCTTCTCAATCTGTTGCAGCCTTCTTCCGCCTTCACAGCCATCAAAACATGTACCATGTTATCCCCCACCTGCTCTGCTGTTGAGGTCTTTGGGTCTTCAAACTTTGCTTGGTCTGGAACCTCCCCGCGGCCACTCCTGGGAGTGCACGACTCCAGTCGTTGTGCCCGCAGGTTCATTGGAACACGCAAACCCCCTCACCACGACAAGGCGACAGTCCATTGAGGTGGCTCCAAAGGATCAGCACCACATTTGCCCTGCATAACAGAATCACCATTGGGCAGCAGAAAGAGGGCATCCAAACTGTCTGACACTCAAATATGTTCTAGATAAGGTTTTAAATCCAGAATCAAGCTGCTTCAGGTACAGAATTTTGCAGATTGGCAAATGCTGTAGCTGAAAAATAGGCTTTATGCCTACATACATGTGTTGCCAGAATAAACCATTTATCATTTCGACTGCTAAAGATAGATCACAAACATACTGAAAACCACAACAGTCATGCTTCTTGGAGTCATTTTCACATTTTTTAAGGACAATCTGAAATGCTATAAAATTTTATAGAGGATCAAGGAAGGTCACAATTGCCATCACCTACTTCCAATGTAAACCATTTTTGAAAGTTTGATGGGGCAAAGATGCCATATCCTCTAATCTTAGATGTCCTGTGATGTGAACATGCAAGGGAGACGCAGGCTGTAACCTGATTTATAGCAGCCTGCTCTTTCCTGCATCTTCTGCACACAAAGTTTACTGTGACAATGACTCATCATGGTATATTACATCTATTGTTGCTCTGCTCCTTAACCTTCCAGGTGTTCACACTGGCAGTAAGAGCTGGTTATAAATATTGTAAGTGTATGGAATCCTGAGCAACAAGGTGAGCCTATTGCTGATTTATAGACAGGCCTCTATAAATGTTGCTCAGGCATTAGTATCTTGTGTTGTAAAAACAAACAAGTGAGTCTGATTGGTTTGAGAGGGACTTGTATGCACATTCATTTGTCCAAGTGTACTGAATTTTCAAAGAATCCCAAGTTTTCAGTGGCGCCCTGTTTGGACTTTGAATGCTGGGATAGATAAGATTTTAAATACAGAATCAAGCTGCTTCAGTTACGGAATTATACAGCTTTCAGACACTGTTGTCTCCCATTTCTAATTCTTCTGGTGTTTTCCCATCTCAACTCCTATTATTATTCTTTCTGCACACAAACTGATAGGCCATTGCTGAACTATGTCTCTTGTTTGATTCTACTAGAAGCAAATCATGCCTTCTCATTTTATTTTATTTGTGGAATATCCAATCCAAAGATGCTCATCCTTTGAACTGTATTGTATGCCTGCTAAGCAGGGATTCAAAGCCTGTTTTTCAGAGTCATAGCCCAATGCTCAAATCATTACACCATGCTATAAAACTGCACACAGGAATGACACATGAATCAACATATTTTTCGTTCTTCCTTTTAGTCAAGCATGGCATGATACTAGGAATAGTATCTCTAGTACAGTGTTTCTCAACCTTTCTAATGCTGTGACCCCTTAATACAGTTCCTTATGTTGTAGTGACCCCCAACCATAAAATTATGTTTGTTGCTACTTCACAACTGTCATTTTGCTACTGTTATGAATCATAATGCAAATATCTGATATGCAGGATGTATTCTCATTCGCTGGACCAAATTTGGCTCAAATACCAGATACGCCCAAATTTAAATACTGGTGGGGTTGGGGGTTTGATTTTGTCATTTGGGAGTTGTAGTTGCTGGGATTTATAGTTCATCTACAATCAAGGAGCATTCTGAATTCCAGCAATGATGGAATTGAACCAAACTTGGCACACAGAACTCTCATAAACAACAGAAAATACTGGAAGGGTTTGATGAGTTTTGGAGTTGTAGTTCACCTACATCCCTAGAGCACTGTGGACTCAAACAATGATGGATCAAGACCAAACTTGGCACGGATACTCAGTATGCCCAAATGTGAACACTGGTGGAGTTTGGGGAAAATAGAACTTGACATTTGGAAGTTTTATTTGCTGGGATTTATAGTTCCCCTACAATCAAAGAGCAGTCTGAACCACACCACATAGAACCCAGATGACCAACAGAAAATACTGTGTTTTCTGATGGTCTTTGGCGACCCCTCTGATACCCTCTCGCGACCCCTCCAGGGGTCCCGACCCCCAGGTTGAGAAACGCTGCTCTAGTAGTTTCGCCTTTACTCACATATATCTGATAGGCTTTAGATACTGCTTTTCAATGCTGTGGTGCATTGGATTAAAGTTGAGCTGCTGAACTTGCTGACCGAAAGGTCGCAGGATCGAATCCGAGGAGCGGTGTGAGCTCCCACTGTTAGCCCCAGCTTCTGCCAACCTAGCAGTTCGAAACATGCAAATATGAGTAAATCAATGGGTACTATTCCAGCAGGAATGTAACGGTGCTCCATGCAGTCATGCTGGCCACATGACTTTGGAAGTGTCTACGGACAATGCCAGCTCTTCGGCTTAGAAATGGAGATGAGCACCAACCTCCAGTCGGATATGACTGGACTTAATGTCAGGGGAAACTTTTACCTTTCAATGCTTTCCTAAGTTCTGTCAATTAAATCTGTTCTAAAGATGGGAAGCAGGAAAACAGGCAGGTGAACATTTTATGCTGCATATACAAACTACATACTAACAAATGTAGATACTACATGCTATCTAATAATAAATGAAACCAACTGTTCAAGCATTATAATCAACTACAACTGGCATACATACAAAGAATGCTAACATGCAATTTCAACAAACCTGCAAATGTTCCAGCTGACCCAAGGACAGCACGAAAAATTACCGTGTTGCTTTACTTCTTCCACAATTCAATATGCTTTTGAGAGGGAGATCAGATCTTCCAAAGTCCAACACTGAGCAATAGTCCATCCCAGCAGTTTAATCCACATTGCCTAACTCCGAAGAGATTAGTAATTTATTTGAATAGTTAAGATTCCTAATACTGACTTCCAAAAATGGACTTTGAAGATATTGCCAAAAGAACAACCTAAAAAAGTAACATAAATATCACACTGTTGGGACATGACTGGTGTTGAGAAATCACATGACTCAGCAAAACTATATGCATGGGTTGTTGTAGGTTTTTTCGGGCTATATAGCCATGTTCCTGAGGCATTTTTTATATGCATGAACAGCAAGTGTTCTCATTAATGATTTTTGGAAGCCTCTGTAGAGGACCAAAGTTTAAGAGACTCACAGATGGGGAAGAGATTAACTGTTTACATGCACTTTTTGTGTC